TATTTATTTGACAGAGAGAGACACAGCGAGAGAGGGAACACCAGCAGGGGGAGTGGGAGAGAGAGAAGCAGGCTTCCCGCTGAGGAGGGAGCCCAATGCAGGGCTTGATCCCAGGACCCTGGGATCATGACCTGAGCCGAAGGCAGACGCTTAACGACTGAGCCACCCAGGCGCTCCTGCCGTGTTTTTTTTCTGTTTTATATTCCTACTCAGCTATTTATTATAATAAAAATATTATTTATTTTTAACATTTAGCTTAGCCAGAGAGAAACAGAAAATTTATTGTAATGTAATATATTTCCATACTTTATATTTCAGAACTACCTTACGTTTAATCCAACAAATAATAAAGAATTGGTGAGCAATAGTAAAACACAGGCAATATATTATTTGTGGGTAAGTAGAAATATTTTGATTTGTCTTAAATGTAGGGACAAGTATATATTCATTCCCTGAGTATAGATGTTTTGGTAATGTAACAATATAGTATCTACTTAGGAAGCAATAAATATGTATTAAAATGGTTTGATTTAATTATAGCATTTATTTTAGTCTCGTTGGAAATTAGTGTATTAAATCAGAAGCAGATAATTTAAATTTCATTTAATTTTTTAAAATAATGAAGCAAATATTTATTTGAATGTATTTAACAGGTTTAAAAAATACAGGGTTTTTCAGGACCTTGGCTTTTACCCCCTTTTAGAAAGGAATTAGCAAACAGATCAGTAATATATATATTGACACAAGGCAGAATCATGAGATTAAAAAAAAATCAGAGTTAAACATAAAATTACCATATGACCCAGCAATTCCTAAATCCAAAAGAATTTAAAACAGGCATTCAAACAAATACATACATACAAGTGTTCATAGCAGCAGTATTCTTTGCAATAACCAAAAGGTAGAAGCAAACCAAATGTCCACCAGCTAATGAATGCATAAACAAAATGTGGTCCATCCATACAATGAACTGTGATTGAGCCGTAAAAAGGAACAAGGCACTGACAACCCACTACAACGTGGGTGAACCTCGTAAACATCATGGTAAATGAAAGAAGCCAGACACGACAAGCCGCATGCTGTATGATTCCATTGATATGAAATGTCCAGAATAGGAGGATCCATGAGACGAAGTGCAGAATGGTGGTTGTCGGGGGCTGGGGGAGGGGTACACATGACAGCTTAATGGAGAGGGGGCTTCCTTTTGGGGTGATGAAAATGCCCTGGAACTAGACAGAGGGGATGGTTGCACAGCATTATTAATGTACTAAGTGTCCCTGAATTGTACACTTTAAAATGATTAATGGTTGGGGCACCTGGCTGTCTCTGTCGGCGGAGCATGTGACTCTTGATCTTGGAGTTGTGAGTTCAGGCCCCACGTTGGGTGTAGAGATACTTAAAAGTAAAATCTTTATAATTACTTGAATTTAAATTTTAAAAAATGTAAAAAAAATAAAATCTTTTAAAAATAATAAAATGATGAATGGTTTAATTTTATGTTATGTGAATTTTACCTCAATTAAAAATGCAAAACAGGGCGCCTGGGTGGCTCAGTTGATTAAGCGACTACCTTCGGCTCAGGTCATGATCCTGGAGTCCCGGGATCAAGTCCCGCATCAGGCTCCCTGCTCGGCAGGGAGTCTGCTTCTCCCTCTGACCCTCCT